CTCGAATCCCCGCCCCCACCCCGGCCTCTGCCACAGGCCCCACCCCCCTTACCCGGGCTTCTGTGCGCCTGCCTGTTCGGCATTTCCGCTCCCTGGAGTCTCTGGCTAGAAACAAACATTCTCTAGGGCCATGTCGCGATCTCGTCACCCCCAGGAGCCAGACAGGTAAAGCCTTCCCGGCCCGTGGCACCCGAGCCAGCCCAGCCCGGCCTCGATCGCAGCAGGGGCCGCCGAGGCCTTTAGCTGGCTGAGCCGGCCTCGGCGCTCGCCCTCTGGCACCCGCGGATATCTGCACCTTTTCGGCCCGGGGGTGGCCTCTTCCCCTGGGGACCTGGGCCCTGCACTTACGCAACCTCTCCCGGCCTGAACTTCAGTGATTCCGCTCTCACCGCCGGGGTGTCCCCTGAGAAGAGAATTTCGATGGTGATTATGCCAAGGGTCAGCCCAACAGTGGACAGATAGGTTTTCGTACTTGTCCCGCTGGTTCCTCTGGTCAGTCTGGGGGCTCTCTCCCAGTAACAGTCACCCCGAGTAGGGACCACTCCCGTGCTGGGCCGCCCAGTTTCCTTTTCTGGCCAGGGCTTTGTGCCCATTGAATTTAGTGACTTTTTAGGACATTTGGTCATTTTTTAAATTCACTGATGTTACCCAACCCCATTTAGTGAGCCCCTTGACACACAGGAGGAGGTCAAGAAAGAACAACAACAACAAAATAGCAAGCATTTACCAACACCAGCGGGACACTTAGGACAGTGGGTATCACTCATTGAGAGTCTCAGCCTAGGTATGTGAGCTGATCGTTTGCTCTCCAGAAATACGAGGCATGTCACAAAGGAGGACAGGAAGGCCAAGTCACTCTGTCCGCTTTGGAAACCACCCTGGCTGACGGAAACTTCTGATTGGTGTGACACAGCCTTCCTACAGAATCATGAGTACAACCAAGGTGTTTGTTTTCTAGAGCTGCCGTAACAAAGTGCCACAAACTAGGTGGCCTTAAGACCACAGAAATTTATTCTCTAGTGGTTATGAAGGCTAGGTCTGAAATCAAGGTTTCAGCAGGGCTGGAGTTCCCTGTGGAATCTCTAATGGATGACGGTTCCCACCTCTTCCTCCTCCTGATGGCTTCTGAGTCCCCGGGCTTGTGACAGCGTCACTCTAATCGCTGCCTCAGTCTTCACAGGCCTTCTCCCACATATGCATCCTCAACCTTCTGTGTCCTCTCCTCTTCCTCTAAGTCATTGAAATGAGACTCACCCTCAATCCAGGGCGCTTTTGCTTCATAATCCTTAACTGGTTACGTCCACAGAGATTCTGTTTCTGAATAAAGTCACATTCTGAGCTTCCAGGTGCATCTGAATTTGGAGTAAACACTACTCAACTCACTACACAAACCAGCAACAAAATACGTTTGTTAAAAGGACCTAAACAAATCCAAATGGAAAGAGCACCACTTATGATTATAAATCTAAATTCTTGCCTGTTATCAGGTGACAGTTCTCCACATATATTCCCCTGGTCCATAGCCTCAGTAGCACCATCAGTCTGGCATTTGATAAAGTATCAGATTCTCAAGCCTCAGCCCAGCAATCTGGAGTAAACAGCTCTCTAGTAGCTACTTGGGTCTGGCAACCACTGTTACAAGACCTGAGTGTTTGGTAACAGGATGTAAAGGCCAGGTTAAGAAAAAGTAGGCTGATCGTGGGACTTTTTCATCAAATCTGTCATGTCTGGATACAGTTATGGATTTCAAAGTTCAATTATGGATTTCAAATTTCAATTATGGATTTCAACTGTTGCGCTGTTAAAAAAAGCAGTTTTGGGCTGGGGATTTAGCTCAGTGTTTCCGCCACCTGCCTTGCAAGCTCAAGGACCTGAGTTCGATCCCCAGTACCAAAAAAAACCTAAAAAGAGCAGTTTATCATATTTTAAATTTAAAATTGTATATGAGGTATGATAGAAATATGGTTAATATTTAAATTTTTAAAATGTATTACAGTAAAAGACATATTGCTATTAATACTCCTCAAAGTCCTCCTCCTTGCTTGGGACACACAGCCCATCATTCTCGTCACTTTCTGAAGCAGTTCTGGAAGTCCTCTTTCCTGGGTGACTCTAGTTGTGCTATTGTGCCTACCTTAAATGTACTGAGTCAACTCAAAATGTTTACCTTTTGTGGTTATTTTTGCCTTTGGGGAGGTTGCATGGTGCCAGATCTACTGAGTAAGGTGGATGAGGATACGCCACAATGTTTACAAGCCTACTCATCTTGGATGACACCCAGTGGCAGCATTCACTGTATTTTTTATCACACTTGGTAAAGACACTAATGAAAGAGGACTTCCAGAACTACTTCAGGAAATGACAAGAATGATGGGATAAAGGTATTTGAAGAGAGTCTGTGTTGAGGCAGTGTCTTAGTTACTTAGTTACTTTTCTCATTTCTGAGACAAAATACCTGACACCCAAAGTTAAAGGAGGAGAGGTTTATTTTGGCTCACAGTGTGTAGAGATTTCAGTTCATAGTTAACTGGCTCCAAGGGAGGGTGGCATGGCAGATGGGTATCACAGAGGAGAAACAATTCATGGAGGGCAGAAGGCAGCAAAGTAGTGAAGAAGCAGCAAGCAACAACAGCAGCCCTGTTTCTGTCCCTTATATTCTATCCAGTTACATACCCTTAGGGCAGGTAGCACTCACACCCAGGGTGGGCCTTCCCATTATGCATACCCAGAACTATGCCAAACCAACCAGTGGACCAATTTAGTAATCACACACCCTTGATCCCAGCATCACACACTTAAGCCCAACATGACACACTTAATCTCAGCATCACACACCCCAGATCCAGCCAACTCTGAAAAGCCCCATCTATGACCACATGAGGCTTTGAGGGGACCTCTAGACATAAGCCATAACAGGAGGATTGATGGTAATGTGTCTTTTATTGTAATGATTTCTTAAATTTAAACATTCACTGTATATTCTGATCACACCTCATAGTAAACTGTGTTTAGTAGTTTTGAGTCTTATTCAAGAGGTCCATAGCCACACTATGGAAGACCTATTATTTCTACCACACTATTGACAAATATGCTGAGGCTCTGAAATGGTGAATCCCAAAATACAGAAAAAGCTGAAATACAGGTAGAACTATGAGCTTTTTGCCGTAACTCTGGCTACTAAGATGTTTGGTTTGTTTCCATTTAGAAACAATTTGATAGATGATGCAAAGACCCGCTTGAAAAAGCTCGATGTTGGTGCCAAATATTCTCACTTGTCGAGTCACAAATACTCCGTCCTCGTACCTTTGGTGGCTAGAGAAGGAAAACTCCATCTGCTCTTCACTGTCCGGTCTGAGAAGGTGAGTGACAGGAAGCCCTCACCACGATCTCTCAGTTAGAAACCCTATGACATTTTGTGGCTCGCATATGGTTTGAGACCACAGTTCTTGAATGGACTTGCCAAATTGTGGTACTGGAAGGTACAAGAAGCCACAGGGTGACATGGCGATTTTTGGAATGAAGATAAGGAATTTAACTTACCGGCAATTTAAACTATTTTTAGACCCTATTTTAACCTTGGTGCTATGACATTTTAGGCTGGATAACTCTTTGTTGTAGAGCTGTTCTGTGCACAGTGGGATGTTTAGACTGATCCTTCGCCTCTACATAGTAGATGCCAGTAGCACACACACACAGTCACATATGTGTGACGATCACAAATGTCTCCAGACATTGCCTGCTACCCTGGTAGGGATGGAGCAGGGTAAAATTTGTGCCTCCGGAATAATGGGAATTACAAGTGCATAGACTAAGCCCTGAAGCCTGCTGCCCATGTTAAATGCAGCCTCTCTTCTTGTTGGCTGTGTGACTTTGCCCTGGTTCCATACCTTCTCTGTGCTTTAGTCTCTCCGCTTGTAAAATGAGGACAATGCATAGTAGCTGATTCATAGGGCTGCTATGAGGAGTTCCTAGGGGGACAAAAGTAAGGCACCTAGCACAGCCCTGGATCCATAGTATCCGCTGTCTTCATGAATGTCAAGTGGCAAGTGTGGCTGGAAGTTTTAAGACAAGGGATTTCACTTGAATACACTATCCAGTTAGGATTGAAGTTTCTGGGCCACACCTACACCCCTGGGTGCAGTGCCCTCCCTTGCTGTCGGGAATACTTCTGAGGAAGAGCTGGGGAAGAGATAATTTCAGAGTTATCTAAGTACAAAAAGAAACGGGGCTGGGTATGGTGGTACAGGCCTATGAGCCCAGCAGCCTGGGAGGCTGAAGCAGGAAGATCAAAAATTCAAACACAGCCTGGGCAATTTAGTGACTTAGCAAGACCTTGTGTCAAAATAAAAAATAAATAAAATAGGGCTGGGGATGTAGCTCAGGTTGAAAGCCCTGGGTTTAACCCTCAGTACAAAACAAAAAAAGGAAGGAAGGGAGGAAAGAGAAGGGAAAGGAAAGGAAGGAGAAAAAGGAAGAAAGGATGGAAGAGACTATAATTACGTGGTATTTCAAGCAGAATAACGGAGAAGTATCTTGTTAAGAAAAACAGCATGGAGTAATCAGCTGGGCTTGGGGGTGGCCTCACATGGATTCTTTTCACTTCAGACCAGGTTGACACCAGCGCCCAGGACAGTGGAAGCCCAGGTTCCCAAGTGGCACCCAGGTGGGAACCAGAGACCCAGGGTCCCAGCCCTGGCGTAGCACAGGCAAAGCACTGAACACAGTTTGTGATTCTTCAGACAAACAACAATGCAGAAAATCTAGGTAGGGCCAGACCCTCAAGCAAGGGGTCTCTGATGTCCTGTTTCACCCAGAGTGACTTTGGTAATTGTTAAAGGAGAGAGAGAGAGAGAGAGAGAGAGAGAGAGAGAGAGAGAGATCTACTTAGACCTGACTGATCCCTGTCTGGCTGTGGGGCCCAGACACACCCTCTGGGGCTTTGCTTGAGCCACCAAGCAACAGAGCCTCCCCAGAGATTTCCTCCTCAGGGAAGGGAAGAGGTGGCGGGTCACCCTACTTTTGTGCTCCCCCACATTTTATTTTGGTTGTTTTGAGATAGGCTCAAACTTGTGATCCTCCTGCCTCAGCCTCCAGAGGGTTCCAGGCGTTCGGCACCACACCCAGCTGGGAGCGAAATTCTTATCTGCCTGGACCTCATCTCCAGAAAGGGCCTGAGACCTGCTCCGGTTGTCCGGAGCCTAGGAGAGTACAGAGCTGCAGAGTGTGGGCACGGCGCTGGCAGCTGGGCTGGCACTCTGGTGCTGGCTGCTCCCTCGCTCTCCATTTCCGCCTTGCCCAGGTCCGCCTTGCCTAAGGGTCTTCTGGGTCCTACAGCCCCGGTGACCAGCAGAGAGCCCGCGGCCTCCCTTCCCCATCGCACACCTGGGCCCAGACTGCTGACTGTCTGGGACACCCTCTCCGTGGCTTTCAGGAGTCTGCTGCTCTGCTGCCCATGTCTCCCCCAGGCCCACACCTTCCTGTCTCTTCGCCCCTTTCCTGCCCTCCTGCTCCCTCCCCTCTGCTCTGATGGCTTGAAACAGACCAGGGCAAATTTAAGAGCGAAACACAAATCAAAGCCTTAGGAACTTAGACCACAACCTTAGTCAGCTTCTGAGAAGTTCAGAAGGCTTAGTGGATGGCATCAATGCGTGCATCTATAATTGCAGCTCTCAGGGAGGCTGAGGCAGGAGGATGGCAAATTCAAGTCCAGCCTTGGCAACTCATCGACTTAGCAAGACCCTGTCTTAAAATAAAAAATAAAAAAGGGAAGAGCTGGGGATGTAACTCAATGCAAAGGCCATGGGTTCAATCTCAGTATTTATGTACAAAAGAAAAAAATTAATAACTTATACTTTGAGTCTTTTTTATACTGACAGTTTGTAAGATTCAGATTTAGTAAAGCATCTTTTTTTTTAACCAAAATGGTGTAATATTTCCTTAAGGGTAGCATTTTCCTGAATCCAAAGTGGTCTTTATTTCCTGTTAATTGGAATAAGTGTAAGCTGGCCTTGAACTCACTAGGTAGCCCTGGCTGTCCTCAAACTCACAGTGATCCTCCTGTCTCACCCTCCCAAGTGCTAGGATTACAGGCGTGCACCACCATGCCCAGTTTTCAACATACATTTTAAATCAGATCCTTATTTTTAAAAACCCAACTGAATACTAGAGATGATATAGCCAGATCGTATTTGCCATACGTTTACCACAACCTTGTTGGTGTGTTAATGGACTTTAGGAGTGACTGTTATAAATTTTAATTTGGGTAACAGCATCATTTTATCAGTGTAAATGTTGTAATACTAAGCTTCACCTTTGCTTTTCGAATGGTTATTGATTTTTGTAGTAGCCCATAATACCACTGCCTTGGAACTGAATGGGCTAAACGATAAAATACTTTTTTATAGGTGACATTAATAGTAAGTCTGTTACTTTTTTTTCTTTCTTTCTTTCTTCTTTTTTTTTTTTTCTCAGTCTGGGCATTGAAGTCAGAGATTTGCACTGAGCTATACCCCCAGGACCAACCCCCTTTTTTTCTTAATTTTGAGACAAAGTCTCAACTAAGTTCTTTAAGTTGCCCCCTCTGGGCTGGAACTTGCAGTCCTCCTGCGTCCTTACAGGCATGTGCCACAGTGCCCAAGTAGTAGTCTACTTCTTATTTATTCTGAAAGACACACTTGTCATGGGTGGAGTGTTCATGACCTAGAAACATACCCATCAGCCTTCCATGCTCTGCTTTCTCAACACCACCGATATGAGGATGGATCTATGGTAGCAATTCCTGCATACTCCTGACTTATTATCAGAGAAGAACTTTAAGAATTTTTAAAAAAATCTTGTCCAAGGCCAGGGATATAGAGCACTTGCCTGGCATGCATGAGGGCCTGGGTTAATCCCCAGTGTCATAAAGACAGAACAGAACAAAAAGAGATTTGTCCAAATGGGTTTTTTTTAAATCTACAATGCTAAAAAAGATTTATTTTAACATTATCTTAGTGTTTTCAAGTTGCTGTAACAAAATACCTTAGACTAGGTGGCTTATAAATAACAAATGTAATTCTCATGGTTCTGGAGGTTGAGAAATCCAGAATCAAGCCATGCAGAGACTCGGTGTCTTGTGAAGTCTTATTTCCCCATTCACAGATGGCCATTTTTCACTGTCTCCTCACAGGGTGGAAGGGATGACCTGTCTCTCAGTCCTCTTAGTCCTCTTTATTAGGGGACTGATGAGGGCTCTGCCCCATGACCCAGTCAACCCCTGTTATGGCTTGTATCTAGATGTCACCCCAAAGCCTAATGCACCCATAGGTGGGGCTTTTTGGAGCTGGCTGGATCTAGGGGGTATGATTTGGGGATTAAGGGTATATGGCACTAAATTAGTTCATTGACTGATTTAGCATAGTTCTGGGTGTGGATAATGGGAGGGGCCCACCCTAGGTGTGGGTGGCACCACCTGGAAGTTTTATACCCTGAATGGGATAAAAGGCAAAGGGAGGCTTGCCTCACTGCTTCCCTGCTTCCTGCGTGCTGTGCCAGGGACTGTTTCCCCTCTGTCATGCCACCCTGCCTTGGAGCTGGCTGACTATGGACTGAAACCTGTACAAACTATGAGCCAAGATAAACCTTTCCTCCTTTAACTTGTGGGTGTCATATATTTTGCCTCAGCAACAAGGAAAATTAACTAAGACAACCCCCAAGGACTCTACCTCTTAAAATCATCACCTTGAGGGGTGTGGATTTCAACATAAAAATTGGGCATACACATTGCAAGATCCAGGAGTCTTGCTGAGCCAACGTCTCCTTGACAGTTCAGTGGAAAGGACACTGGCTACTGCCCAGGGATGGGCACAAAAGAAATCAGGATCAGTTTGCTGAGAAGTTAAGTGCTGCAGAAGAAAGAAGAATGGAGGGATTATGCTTTTCTATATCTGCTCAGAATAGGAGAAAAGAGAAATTGTTGTAGAGACAGATGAGAAAGGGAGAAATATTTAGGACTCTCCTAATGTTCTCCTAAAGTCGGGAAAAAATGGACCAAGTATATGGGTAGAAAAGAGAAAGCCCTGTAGCTTTGTTTGCAAAGATACATGGAGATGCTGACAGTGGTCGATGCTGATGACTCCAGTGACCATATCTTTGTGGTTTAGTATGCTCTTAATAAATATGTGGTGTGTGGGTTAAGAATGTGAGCTTTAGAATCAAACCCTGACTGATACTCCAACTCACTGTGTGATCTTTGTGAGGCTATTTAACCTACTTGAGCCCTAGTTCCCTTGTCTGAAAGTGGAAATAATAATAGCATAATAGTAACTTGCATGTCTATCTGTGAATGGATGGGTAGACAAATTGTGATACACATAAACATTGGAATACTCTCACCCATAAAAGGAAAGAAGCCCCAAAACATTGAGCTATGTGAGAGACACAAGAGGTCACAAGTCATACCTATGCTTACATTTACAGTATGTGAGATGTTAAACAGAAAGTAGAGGTGGCACGGGTGCTGATGAGCAGCTGTTTAGGGGATACCAGATGTCCTTTTAGGGTGATGGAATTTTCTGGAAATAGCAGGGGTGGTTGTATAACATTGTGAGTGTGTCAAATGTCACTGAGTTGTTCACTTTAAAATGGTCAATGATACATGAATTTCATCTCATAAAATAAAATACTTTGAAAAAGAGTAGATTATAGGTCTGTTCTGAGAACTCAGGAAAAAAAATCCTTGTGAAACAGCATTCCCAGACATGGTAAGCACTCAATAAAAGGCTCAACAAAATGATCCATTTGAAATATTGCCATTTATATTATCCTTTATTTTACCTTTTTTTTTTAATCCCCATCAAAGTCAATTTGTTGGTGAATGTATAGAATCTCCTGGAGACACGTAGAGAACTGGGATTAGGGGAAATTCTCAAAGCTTACTTTTAAAAAATGAATCAAAGTAAACCTTTTTCATTTCTTAAAAATTTTTGCAATGCTAAGGCTTGAACCCAGGGCCTTGCACATGCTAGGCAAGTACTGTACTACTGAGCCACATCCTCAGTCCTCTTTTTAAATTTTATTTTGAAACAACAAGGGTCTCTGTAGGTTGCCCAGGCTGTAACCAAGCTTGGGGTCCTCCTGCCTCAGCCCCCTGAGTAGCTGGGATTGCAGGTGTGCTTCCCGCCCTCCCCTGATTATGTCTCATTTATCACTCGATACTACCAGGGTAAGGGTGGTCTCTGGCACACAACAGCAGTACAGTAAGTATTTGTTGAATTGAATAAATGGTTCGAAATTTGTCATCACACATGACTGCTCTGTTCTCTCAATGTTCAGCTGAGAAGGGGACCTGGAGAAGTTTGCTTCCCCGGGGGGAAGAGGGAACCCACAGACGTGGATGATGTGGCCACCGCTCTCCGGGAAGCCCGGGAGGAAGTGGGGCTGCAACCCCATCAAGTGGAGGTCATCTGCCGCCTGGTGCCATGTCTGTTTGAAGTAAGCTTTCCATAGACCCCCGTGAGCAATGAGTGTGTCTGCTGTTTTCAGGATTCCACATTTCTCCAAACACAACCCCAAAGTCCACTATGCATAAAGCCAAGAAACTGGGCCCTCGTGTGGCCCCTGCCCCTCATGAGCTCAGTGGTCTTGGGCAAAGCCCTCCTTCACCACCAGAAATAAAAGGATTGAACTACATCATCGAGTTTTAAACTAGGTACTATGGAACCCTAAAGGTGCTTCTGATTTATTTCATTAACTTTCAGTTCACATTTACTTTTCTCCGCTGTGTATTTATTTTGAGAATTCAGCTGAAAAAGAAAACACACATTCCAGTCCATTATCCTCTTAGAGGGAGCTGATGCATTACCTTTACCCCAGCTTTCCTAATTTTTGCTCATACCATAGAATAAAGCTGCCTCATATCATGGTTAACTAAGCAGTACCCTGAGATCACTAGATAAGCTCTTTAAAAACTGTTACTATCATAACTGCATTCCTGTGTGAATCAGGATTTCCTTTCTAGTATAAACCAAAGCAGCATCAAAAATCCCCACATGAATTCAGCAGCTGACATTGCCAGATCTTAATTTACTCCGAGTTCACCACTACAACTTCATTGTTGTACCAATGGACTTTAAAAGGAGAAGAGCCAATATTGTAAGTTTTACCTTGGATAACAGCATGATGATATTGATATAAATGTTGGAACAGGAACCTTCAATGACAGTTTTAGAGTAGTTTAGATACAGAAAATTGCAAAGATAGTACGAAGAGTTCTTGTGTACCCCACGTCCAGGGTCGCAGTGTGACACTTTGCATCACTGGTACATTTGTCATAACTAAGAAACCAATGTTAGTACATTATTATTAAGTAGAACTTTGACTTTACTGTCTCTTACTAGTGTTTTAATAATGTCTATTCTGTTCTGGATCTTACCTAAGATACTGTATTGCACTTGGTTGTCACTCTCCTGTCACTCTCCTTAGTCCTCTTGTCTGTGACAGTTTCTTGGACTTCACTTATTCACATGACACTGAAAGTTTTGAAGTCCATCGGTCAGGTATGTTGCAGAATGTCACTCAGTTTGGGGTTGCTGAGATTTTTGTCTTGGTCAAACTCAACACCACAGAGAAGTGCCTTCATCACATAATAACAGAGATAGGTATAAACTTTTTAAAATATTTGATATATTGGGCTTTTTTGTAAATTTTTATTTCAAAAGAATAGTCCACCTGATGCCGAACAGTAGAAACCAGTGGATTAGTTTGTCTTTCATTTGCTTAAAGTCTTGGTGGTACAGGGTCATTATTAGGGTTTATATCTAGATGTCTCCCCAAAGCTTCATATGCTATAAGTAGGGCTTTTGAAAGGTGATTAGATCATAGATGTGTGATGCTCATCAGTGGATTGATCCACTCTTGAGTTTATAGTTAAATGTGATGTTGGGAGGTGAATCCTGGTTGGAGGAGGTGGTCAGTGGAGGGTATGGCCTGGAAGAATGATCTCCCTTCCTCCTTCCTTGAGCCCAGCTCTCTTTCCAACTGCCCTGCCATGAGTTCTTTCTCCTCAGCCATTCCCCTCTGCCATGCCACCCTGCCTTGCAGACAGCCTCTACAAACTATGAGCCAAAATAAACCTTCCCTCCTTAGAGTTGTGTGTGTCAGGTATTGTGTCTCAGCAATAAGAAACTAACACAGTTGTGAAGATCAATGATGCTGAGACATTTGTGTTAATTGAGCCCAGTTTAAAATACAAAGATCATCACTCAGGAGATTTAGTTTAGGAGAATCTTGTGGCCCCTCAATAAATGTTTACAGTGTGTGTGTGTGTGTGTGTGTGTGAGAGAGAGAGAGAGAGAGAGAGAGAGAGAGAGAGAGAGAGGTGGGATTAGGCAAAATGTGTCAAGTACTTTCTTTCCCATTGTGTATCTTAATGGCAGTTCTTTTCAGCTGATTTTTGCAAATCCCTCAGCACATTTTGGGGATTTATCTTGGAACTTTATGACACATTCAGCTGTAATAGTTAAACGTTCCCAAGATGTGACTGCCTTCATTCCCAAGGGTCCCAGGAGCTACTGAGTTCTGCGTGAAAATGGGTGAAATATAGCAGTTTCACAGGCTGCATCAGCTTTTCCTGACCATAACAAAAACCTGAGATAATCAGCTCCAAGGAGGAAAGGTTTATTTTGGCTCTCAGTTTTGAAGGTTTCAGTCCATGGTCCATTGGCCATGTTGCTTTTGGGCCATGTTGTGAGGCACCACATCATGGTAGGAGTGTGCAGTGAAGCAGGCTTCTCATGTTGTGAAAATACGGAAGCAGAGACAGGAAGAGTGGAAGAGACTGAGCTCCCACAATCCCTTCCTAAGGCACAACCCAATGACCTCACTTACTCCCATTAGGCCCCTCCTCTTAAAGGTTCCAACACCTCCCAGTAGCACAACCAGCTACAGACAAAGCCTTTAGCACATGGGCCTTTAAAGGAAATTTCAGATCCAAACTGTAGCACAGAATGATATCGAGTCTTCAGGAGTTTTCCATGGACCAGACATTCCTGGGGCAGGAGATTTCTAAAATGACATTATCATGACATTAGAATGAACAAAGGTTCTAAGGACAACATACAGTCCTTAAAAATGCTAGGGAAGGTTATTTTGTTTTATGACCCTTGCTAGTTTTTAAACTGTATGACCAAAAACACCATTCATCGATCACTAACACAAATAATCTAACTCAGTGGTTCTTAATTAACATTTGGGGATGTCTGGGGATGTTTTGGGGTGTCACAGCTGGGGCACTCCTCCCCTTCCTCCTACATGAACCCTCCTGGACCAACTGTGGCTCCACTTGCCCCACCCTGGGGAACTTTGTGATCTCAGAGACTGTTTACCCCATGCCAGGCCTGGCATGAGGACTTCGGGTGACTTACAACCTCAGATCTCCTGCCCTCAGGGTATCTGGTGTCTCTGTTCCCATTGTCCTTTCCCACTGCATATATTGACTTTACCACTAACACAGTTCACACTCGGAACCATCTCTGTCCTTAAGGTCACCTTAGCAGAGCTGTCCATCCTCTGAAGACGTCCTGTAGGCATGGTCAAGCTCCCACAGGTCTGCACCTCACAAGCACCTGCCTGTAGCTTTTCCCACCTTCTTGCGGGAGGGGGAACTCCAAGCTCATCTCACTTTTCATTGGAGGTTGTTCCTCCTCCAAGCTCTCACACCTGGACTCAGTCAGCCCAGGTCTCTCTCTCGAGATTCCCAGTAGACAAAGGGGTCTGTTATCGAACTGAACCCCAAATTATTTGCAAGTATTTGTGATTGTAAATGGAAATTTCCCCTTATAAACATGGATTTTTATGAAAAATAGTTTATATGAAGTTATATGTATATAAGGCATATTTACATATATAGTTTTCCCATAAGTGGAAACATGCTATGACTATATCACCTTTCTGTTTATAAGAAGCACATCCTTGTCTTTACCAAGAGGCAAAGGTGTCTATTGGATTTTTTTAAGGCTGCATGGTATTCCAATCTATGGTTATTTATAACCATCATTTGTCTAACCTAATATCCACCAGTTAGACAGTGAGCATTTTATTTTGGGACTGCTGCAAATAATGCTTCTACCCTGTTCAAGTAGCTCTTCCTGCTGGGAAGAATCTATGATACAGATCCACTCATACAAATGCCAATTCCAGCTCAAAAAGATTATATTTTTACACTATTACCACATAGCTACTTCAAATGGGCGTGCCAGTTTATCCTCACAACAGATTATCATTCTCAAAGGTGTCTCTGAGATGCCACCTCCTGTGGGGCAGATACTGCCCTGTTACATGGCAAATACTGCCCTGTTACATGGCAAATACAAGTTTGCTCCAGAAGTAAATTCTTCACCCTTCCCACCCCACCTTCTGTAATGGACCAGTTCGGTTTAACATTTTATTTTACAGAGAAATGGCAAGATTTTAAAACTTGAAACAATTTCACTGTGCTTCTGAATGTGTCTATTTTGTTTTCTGCTTTTTTAGAAAAAAAAGTTGGTTACCCCAGTGGTGGGTTTTATAGACCACAACTTTGAGGCCCAGCCGAATCCTGATGAAGTTAAGGATGTGTTCCTTGTGCCTCTGGACTATTTTCTACATCCACGTGTCTACTACCCTTATCACTTTACACAAGCTGGCCATTCTTTTGTCATGCATTGCTTTGAATACAGACGCCCTGAAGATGGTGTGACTTATTTCATCAGGGGACTGACTGCGCGATTTGCTGTAGTGGTTGCCTTGATTATTTTGGAACAGAAACCTACCTTTGAGGTTGAATATAATCTCAATGATCTACTATCATCTTGTGAAAAACAGTTGCTTCTTTACCATGCTACAAGCAAGTTATGATTTATGAGGACAAAATCCAAAAATCCATCCAGGAGGATTCTGTATGTGGTTGTGCACTGAACACCAATGATGGCTGCTATCAGAATTTGAGAGGTACTAATATTTTCCCTGCAATCTGAAAGGAAAAACCTTGCCTTTTTTTTCCAGTTGCCTTCTATCATTTGAAAGAACAACAAAGGAAGAAAAATATATTGATGGTGTTGTCTAATTTCACCCACGATATGTTAATATTTTTCTTACACATTTAAGAAAAAAGTACCTGGCACATAATAGGCACTTAATAAATGCTTGTAATATATTATGACCATGTGGTATTTATCTTGTTTGTCTGTTGTTCTATGTGATAGAAGCTTCTAGCCATCCATCCAAACCTACCCTCAATGACAGTACGACCCTTGACATTAAATGGGCCTCTGGGATTTAATTTTGGCCAGTGTGGTTCAGATGAAGTTGGCCTTGCAGGTCACCTTGAATTGAAGAGGTGAGCCACCTAGGAAAGTCCAAGTCTTTCCTAGTCTTTCCATCGGCTACACCATGCATTCCTCTGCAACTGGTCTGGGCCATATGGATGAAGACATTTCCTGGGGGAATGGCAGAACCGAGAGATAGTCAGAGCTTGGATATCCGAATGACTCTATTGAGCAAAGCAGTCCTGCAACCTGGGCTGTTCTTTGGGATCTGTTACAGGAGGGAAGAGTACAATTCTGTTATCTCTGCCCCTGAAATGTAGAGTCCCTTTGTTGCAATATTACTTTTACCCTAAATAGTATATCACAACACTTGAAAATGGCTAGATGGAAATTCACCCAAGCTTGAGATGTTACAGACAGTTAGCATCTGGCATCTCAGCTCTGGCTCTTACCATGTAGGTTCTGTGATACATACAGGTTGTCCTTGTCAGGTGGTAGGGTTTGGCAAGCATTAGCCACAGTAGCTAAAATTGTAAAAACTAATGCAAATGCAAGCCCCAAATTGAAAGTCAAAAAGATAAACATGTACATGCCTTGAGATCTGTCACTTCTCATGTGAGCATCTCCATAGAGTTAGCAGGATTTCTTTGTTTAATTATGATGTTAACCATGCTGCACAAAGTCAGACAGGCCCCTGAAGAAAGCAGCAGAACTACATCTCTGTGATGTCAATTTCACATCTCACTGAGTGTTACCAGATTTTAAGAGAGCCAAGTGATTGCTTAATAAGACTTTGCAATAGCTGAACATGTGAGGCCAATATGAAACCCCTCAATCTGCCCTGTAAGAGACCATTGCTGCAGACTTTATTTTCTGGATTTTGGCAGAAGCAAATACCCGATCTGCTGCTTTAGACCCATAAATGTTTAAATGGCACAAATCTGACTCCAACCATGAAAACAGATGTTGGGTAAGCGTCCTCATTAGCATTCTGTAACTAGCCCCGCATGAGCAGACCTAAACTGTTTCCGAACAACTACAGAAGCATTTGCAAATGTGTATTTACCATCTGACAGCAGTATAATTGCTAGGTAGATGGCTGACCCCTCTGTCCAAGAAAGTGGTCCTTCTGGATAGCATGTTTGTTTATGTGAATGACAAAGACTTGCCTGGTTTCTGAGAGGAGCTGGCCCAGCTTAAGTCTGCAATCTGCTCGTGAACACCCAATTTAGGGTGCAGGATACTCACTGATAGAGATATTACCCTTCCTCTTCTTTTAGTAGCATGATTTATAATATCTATGTTCAGGGCTCTAATTAAACATCAAATCTGGATCAAATAAAAGGGGAAGTTATGGCAAGGTACAGATCTCAGAAAATCTACCAAACCACTGAACAAATCAGCCTCAGGAAAGACAGCAGTAGGCAGCAATGCAGCTAACCACCTCAAAACCAAGAACCGGTGAACCTGCTCTTGTACACCCTGTCATTACTGTGACAAAAACCACCTGTTAGAACTGATGGATGGGACAGAAAAGCAACAGTCCCATCAGTCTTTGAAGAAGCCTGCCTCAGGCCTAACTTAGGTCACTGGCAAGTTTCCAGTAACTTGCAGTTATATTCAAGGGCGAGGGTCAGTGGGGCTGTCTGACAACTCACATCCTGTATTCTCAAGTTCCCGCTTTGCAAGTGCATTCTCCCGGCCAGACAGCTCAGCTCTGCCTTGTCAGCCGCCTCAGCATCAGTAACACAGTGGTTAAGAGGCTTGCGTCTGAAACGAGGATGCCGAGGTGTGACTACTAACTAGCTCTAGCATCATCCCCCTGGTAGCCCTTGGTTTCCCCACCGTAACATGGGGAGATAAACTTCCTGTCTTAGGGCTTTCAGAAGAGGAAATGAGTTGATAAATGTGATCCTTCTACTTAAAGCCCTCCAAAGTGCTCAAAACAGTACCTGGAAAATGGTAAATGCTCAAATTTCTGTTAGCTCTTAATTCTGGTAGTAGTTTAACTATAATGTTATACCCTAATAGTAATAACAAGCAGTGCTATTTCTCTTGTTCAAAGCTTCCTCAGTTTCCTACACTAGTGGATCCAGAACTTTTTCAGTTCACACAGCCCTTTGTATCTTGTAAGGCACATACAAATCAAGCAAGACACCTACAATTTTGTTTAGGACATAGGACCAAACAACTGAGTAAGGATTTATATCTTACTAACTTGGTAGCCACTTGAAAATATAGCCTATATACACTGAAAGAAAAATATTATTCATTTCAATCTTAACCACAGTTGCTACTAATGGAGTAAATAAAAGATTCAAATAAATACAGCCATATGGAAGGGAGAAGCCCCCGAAGTAGGGAAGACACTAACTCAGACTTGGGACTCAGGGACAGCTCTGTGTGGAGGTAGTGACTTGAACTGAGACTGATGGGCAAGGAGATGCTGCTTACATGGGAGGGACAGTGGTACTGTTGGTGGGGGCTACATTCATGAAGCACCCACCAAATGTCCAGTTCTTCATTTGATTATTTCATTTAACCCTCACAGCCATTCTCTGTAGTGAGCACTGTTATGATTCCTGGTTTTGTATAGGAAAACAAGAAGGTCATATATTTTTCACAAACATTTGGCCAGTCTGAAGTCTGCAATCTGAGTAACACGAGCAGACTCTCGGTTTAGGAAGGTGGATACTTAGCAATGGAGGTGTTAGCGCCTCCTTTCTTTCTAACAATATATTTTATGGCAGTATTTGTGACCACACAGTTTGTAAATGGCAGAGCCAACATCCAAACCCAACTCTTACGAGTCACAAAGCCCTTTACCTCTACACCCACTTACCTCAAGATGAGGCAAGAATGAAGGTTAAATTTACATTTCTCTCAAATCACCACATGTGCAAGCAAAGCAGTTAATAAAATAGAGGAAGTACAGAGTTTATTTTTGCCTTAATCATGTCCTCTAGCTTAGTTGGCTGGCAGTGTGCACGGTGAAATGAGTAATTAGCTAGGATGATTTTAATTAAAATGGAACATACCAATTAATGAAGGAAAGTGCTTGCATACTTGCTAATTTAACAGCTCATTCACGGCACCAGATTTCCAGTTAAGCAACTAAGGTAGGAAAACATTCCTCCACTGCTTAGACAGGATGATTAAGTATAATTTCCGTTGTTTTTCTTTTTTTCTTAATTCCCAATTGGTTTCTTGGGAACAGTTACTGGAGTGATCACTGCCCTGTGCAGTTGTTTCTCTGTGGCCTACTCAGGACCCCTATAGGCATCTATGTGTATATTCAGCCCAGAACTCCTGATTGTCCTCCCATCCACACCCAGTGCCCTCTCTCTGCCACCCCATTGTCCACCATGGCTCAGAGTTTAGAGGCACACTTTTCAACCCCCCTTAGTTTATAGCACAGACGCTACTTCACTGCACATCTGCATAATACATGCGTAAGATCTTTGTACTAATTCCACCCTTACCCTGGAAGGAACAGATCCGCATACCATGAGACAACCCACTCTAACTTCTAGCCACAAGTGAACAGACCAAGGATCAACAGCCAACCCAAAGACAGCTCCTAAATTGGTGTCTAGCAATCTGTGAGTTGTTTGATCTTGCTTCAATAATGAACCTAAATCTATTAGCTTTTCCAAAGACTCTGAACTATGCCAGAAGATAGATAGTGCATGCTTGGCAAATATTTTAGAGTGAGCCCAAGAAATCAGATTAAAAGGTAGTTAGCCAATAATTGGTAGAAATGTGTCTTTGCTCAAAGCAGTAGTTGTCAGTAATTCACCAGACACAACTGCCAAGAGAAGAAATATCTCCTAAAGCAACTTGAAGATCTTTTTTCTAAGGTCTCAAGTCTATAAATTGGAATTATAAGTGTAGACTTGAATTGATATTTCCTTGACTATAACTTTCCTCCTCTTTCACTTTACATCTTCAAGCTTTTATTCCCTTCGTGATCATGGCTGTCAATGGCATTTCTGTCATTTTTCTTTTCACTTATTATTAATGTGAAACTTTAGGTTCTCCTGATTATTTTCTTCTACTAACTTAATTCATGTGTACTTCATTACTCTGGGCTCATTTCATTTCCTTCCACCAGCCTTACATCTCTTTTGTAAATCTTTTCCATTTTATGGACCCCCCCCAAAGCTCGTTCTGAGAAGTTGCCTTTATTTTTTTCCTTCTGGCTAGAAATCTGTATGCCCTAACATCCAGCTAAAAGATAAACTGAAGATAGTGGAAGCTTTCTGCTAGAACTCTTAACCTGTTGTGAACCTACATCAATCCATCTTAGCAAATTGAATAATGGCCCCAAAACAATACAAGCAAGTCCTAACCTCAGTACTTGTGACTGCAACCTTATTTGGAAATAGGGCCTTGCAGATGTAGTTAAGGATCTCGAGATGAGAGCATCCTGGATAGAAAGTGGGCTCTGAATTCAGCAACTGGCATCTTTATTAATGAAAGGAGAGGGAGATTTGGGACAGAGACACTTGGAAGGCCATGTGAAGACATGGGCAGCGATGACAGTGATGTACCATAAGCCAGGCAGCTGTTGTGGATGAGCTGAGCGAGTTTAGAACATTAGAGATGCACCACACTCTGCCAGATTCAAGCCCATTCATTATAGCCAGTGGTCGAGGGGGGCTGACACCCAGAAAGTTCCCTCGGCAATGGGAAATCATTTGATTTCTCCTTTTAAACCATGCTTTCACTTGGGGAGGGCTCAGGGGAGAGCAAGCAGAATCTTACAGAAGCAGAGCCATGCCAGGTTAGTGGGGGGCACAAGGAAGTTTCACACACTAGGTGAGCTACAAAACATCCTGCAACTGCAGCAAGTTTACTGCCAAGCAGGATGTGGGGGGTTGGGGTGTTTTG